ATCTTCTGCCAGCAGCAGGGATTACTAGCTATATACATAAGAAATCAGAGAGATGCTTGGGAAAGCACGGGCAACAGTTTAAGACGTGGAGTTTGTTGACCCTAGACAAGGCCTAAGGACTGACCCAAGGGACATGGTCTCAAATTTCCAACACAGCTGAAGTGGGGCAAAGGCTTGGCATGTGGGACCAATGACTGGGTGATAGGGTACTGGAAAGCCTTCTAGTAAGTTTTGCTTTCCAAAAATGATTTGTCCCATGAAATAGTGAACACACCTCTGGTCTCTGAAAATGAAGGAACAGGCAATGTAACCCTCTATCCAGGAAGTCCCAGAATGTCTGTGTTTCTGAGGAGTCAGGTTACAAGGCCGTGGCATTCAACTAATATTTTGAAATGACTCAAATATAGCCGAGGCACCAGAGTCGGAAAGGAACGAAGCTGAATCTGATGTGCCATCCTGTCATACCCAACCTGTTTTAAACAAGCACAGGTTTGCTTATCACACTTATCCATCCTTAGGACACACTCCTTAAAACCCCACCCAGGCCCTCCCTGAAATCTAATAAACCGAACTCTTGTTCCTTTTTAAAGGTTGAAAATATTAACATCCCAGTAAGATCAAAGCAGACTCCATTCACTTACTGGTTTAAAACACACACACACACACACACACACACACACACACACACACACACACACACAAAGCAAAAAAAAAAAAAAATAAAATATATATATATATATATATATATATATATATATATATATTAGAATTACACATTTAGTAGAACTGAAGACTTCCAAAACTGTCTGGTTCACTAAGCTCTAACTGGGCCGAGGTCTGGAATGCTGTATTTAAGAATTCTCAATGTTTTACTCTGGCTGGTGTGGCTCAGTGGATTGAGTGCTGGCCTGTGAACTAAAGGGTTGCTGGTTTGATTCCCAGTCAGGGCACATGCCTGGGATGTGGGCCAGGTCCCCAGGAGGGAGCTCACGAGAGGCAATCACACATTGATGTTTCTCTCCTTTACCCTCTCTCTAAACATAAATAAGTAAAAATCTTTTTTTAAAAAAGAATTCTCAATGTTTTAATTTGGAAGGATAGTGTAAGAAATAGAAAGAGTTGAATGATATGTACAGGATTTGTTATATAGTCAATGCTTAATATTTATTGAAAATGTAAATCATGTTCTCTCACATTAAGTAATTTCAATCCTAAAGGCCCATACATGTGTCTTACTACAAGTGCTGGGAAAAACAAAAAGGACGCATGAGCATGAGAGATGGGAGTATAAAGGGACTACATGGTAAGGGAAAAAAATACAATTAAAAAAATATAAGGTGCTGGGCTCTAAAGAGAACTCTTTTAAAAAAAAATTAAGTATGAGATAAATACAAACTAATAAAAGGACAATAGATGCAGTAGGTGGAATAAGTAAAAAGAGAATCAATAGGGAAGCCAGAGATTGGTGGGCAGAGAATGAAGACATGAAACAGTCTCCGAGACAAGGGAAGGCGGGCGGGGGGAGGGGGGTTCGGCACTGACGTCCTTTTGTAGAAAGCTTGCAGGCCCTCCATTTGGAGAGCCTCAGGGTGAAAGACTTTGGCCCCATAAACACCCAGCTCTGTAGCTGCATCCTATCACATCAGTTCCTGTTCATTTAGGAGTCCTTCAACGGGATGATCATTCACTCAACAACCTCTTCTTGGGGACCTGATCTGAGCCAACCCTGGGCTACGCAAGAGGGTCACAGAAATGAGTGAGAGGTGGTCCCTACTTTGGCTTATTCATTTCCAGCTGCAGAGGCAGGCCTTAGAACCAGTGAAGGACACAGAAGTTATGGAAGGGCTTAAAGGGAAGCATGCGGCCAACAGGAGAGGCTTCAAAGAGCTACACAGAGACATGGTATCGTGCATCTGACAGGGCACTCCAGGCAGGCCACTCTCTCTAGAAGAGAAGGGACCAGCAGGGTAGCATCCACATAACTCTTGGAGCCTATCTGATTAGTTCTTCCAGGAGGTGTTTAGAAAGGCTTTCGAGGTGAAGAGTCCTAAAAACCTCTAAGGGGGTTAAAATCGGAATGAAGCATAATTAGAGGCTGTGCTAAAGTGATTGGGAAACACTGCTGGGGATCAGTGATCTAGATAGGCAGGATGCATGAAGGGTGGAGGGAATGACTTCTGAGCAGATCCTTGGGGATGATGCAAGTAAGCAAGGGTGGGGGTGGGGGGGTGCAGGTCCCACAGCCAGCAGATCTCGAGCCAAGGGGCCGGAGGTGTGCTGGGAACCCACGGAGAGAGATTCAATGTGACGGGCAAAAAAAAAAAAAGTGTGTTGGGTGGGAGGAGTGGCAGACGTGAGGCCTTTTTTAACTTAAAATACATATTGAGGTATAATTTACATACTATACAATTCACCCATTGTGTATGTACAATGAATGATTCAGTAAATTGATAGTTCTGCATCCATCACCAAAAACCCAGTTTTAGGACATTTTCATCGTCCTCCCAAGTTCCCTGTGCCTGTTTGCAGTTTTTCCATCAGGCTGATTTTGCTTTAGCATGAAGGTTTGGAAGTTCATCCATGTTGCAACACATACTAGTAAGTAGTCCATCCCTTCTTATTGCTGAATAGTAAACCACTGAATAAATCAATGTAACACCTTCAAAAAACAAGTTCACCAGCGAGTGGACAGTACCATTGCTCCCGCGTTAGACCATGACGGGCAGGGCTGCTGTGAACACTCACCTTCAATTCTCCTTGGGATGTACGTTTCCATTTTTCTTGCATTAAGGTTGCCATATTTAGCAAGTTAAAATGCAGGACTCCCAGTTAAGTCTGAATTTCAGATAAAAACTTTCTAGTATATCCCATGTAATATTTGAGATATACTTACGCTAAAAATTTACTTCTCTCAAATCTAAATTTTACTGGGCACCCTGTGTTTTTACCTGGCAACCCCATTGTGTGCAGATCTATAGAAATGGAATTGCCAGGTCACATGGTAGGTTTGTATTTAACTTTTTAAGAAACTGCCCATCCGTTTCTCAAAGGGACTGAACCACTTTACACCTCAGAAATACTCAGAATGAAGATTCCAAGGTTTTTCTCATCCTCACCAACACTTGGTATGGTTTTTTATGGCCATTCTAGTGGATATGGAGTGATTTTTCATTGTGGTTTTAATTTCACCGATAGTCTTTAAGAAGTTGTGTTTATTAGCCATTTGTCTTGAAAAACTGCCCATCGAATCTTTCGGCCATTTTTCCATTGGATTGCTTGTCTTACGATGTTTTTTATGCAAGTTGTTTATCAGATGTATGATATGTAAAGTCTGTCTTTAGCTCATGTCTGAACAGTGATTTTTAAAGCCCAGATTTTAATTTTGATGAAGTCTAATTTATCAAATTTTTAAATGGATTTTGCTTTTGGTGTCACATTGAACTCTCTGCCTAACCCAAGGTCATGGAGATTCCTTCCCCCCCCCCCTTTTTTAACCACATTCTTCTTTTATTTTTGCCTTCATTTTTGCAAGGTAGTTGTACCTAAATTTTATAATGCTCCCCAGTCTCTGAAGCTTCCTGAAGGTTCATTGGTCTTGAGTCGGAGATCCGAAGCAGGCTTTGAGGTCAGAAGCAGGAATATCAGACAGGCTAGGGTCCACTGCGGAGAGAGGACATTCACTCCCAAACTCGCAGACCCCAAGTCTGAGTCACAACCCCAGGATGCTCAGCCCTTCCGAGCTCACAACAGGAGCTTCCAGGGAGAAGGCACCTTGCCTACACTCCTGTGAGACCGACAGTTGGAAAAGGAAGATCTGCATTTGGCACAGAAAACTCTGCTACGATTGCACCCAGACTCCCTGTTCAGGAACCAGAAGGAAGTGCAGCTGCAGGTCACCCAGAGTGTATTCTACTTGTAGTGCTTGTAATTGAATTGCTCTAGCCTGCTTCAGATCCAAGTAGGTCAGCTACATATTGAGAACACTCAACTCCAACTTCCTAGGTTCTTTTCTCCTTTTTCCTGCTATGAGGAGAGAGAGATGTTGGAGGTCTCACTATCCTCGAAACATAGGTGAACACTAAGACTGACTCTGGGACTTGGCCAGCTGTCATCGATCTCCCAAGCTACACAGCCTCCCAAATTAGAATTCCCTGGGGTACATGCTGAGCTCCACCTTCTAGGGGAAAGCTCACAGGGAAAACGGGCAGAGGGAGAAGAGGCTGCCCCTGACCCTCCAAGCAAAACCTGCCCTTTCTGGCCTCACCCTCTATCAAATCCACACCCAGTTCCCCTTCAGGCATTCCCTAAAGGAAGGATTGCCAGGCTCCTCTCAGTCCCGGGTACCCTCCTTAGGGCACCTTCCAATTGGCCAACATTCACCCTAGTTGCAAAAATCAGCTAAGATATGTAAATAAAGGCATTTGGACAAAACGCAAATGCTAGGTTAGTGCATTTACTCCCAAATTCATTGAGTGCCCACATCTACTCCAGCGTGAGTCCAACAACCACCTGATTCTTCCAGGGTCTCAGGAGTGCCAAGCAGCAGTTCTAACTTTATTTCTTGTTGATGCCCATAACCTTTCCCATATAGTTTTTCCCTTTTAAAACGTCTAACATTGCCAAGTAGTCTTATCAACTCATGCCTCCCTCTAAATGTAGAACTGGACCTCCCTGCACACCATCTATTCCAATATTAAGACCCCTAGTGTTTAAGAGCTGCCTCCCACAATATGTGCACATTTTATTACGGATCCGCACCAATACTCCCTTTTATCTCCTATTTTTATCTCCCTTCAACTGTTATCTTTGGAGAGAAACACTGATCAGTTGCCTTTTGTATGTGCCCTGACCAGGGATCAAACCCACAATCCTGGTGTGCGCCCTGACCAGGAACTGAACCAGTGACCGTTTGTTTTGTGGGACGACGCCTGAGCAACAGAGCCACACCAGTCTGGGCTATAGCAACTACATTTCATAAAAGCACAGCTCACTCTGATATACACACTTTATTTTAAATTACGCCACTAGTACTTGGAGGGAAAAGTAATTTATTTGCATTGTTTTCATTTTTCTACTGTAGTGTTAGGACTTGACATAAGTATCACTCTTCTACTTCCTATTTACAGTTCATTCAGAATATTACTACAAATACAATATACATATTTTAAAAACTTATGGGGAACTGCAGTTTTTGTTTCTCCTCTTTACAGGTTTCTCAAAATCATTCAACTTACAGGAAACTTTATACGGACATTTTCTGTACACATCTAAAAAGGCAGAGATTATGCTGATAAAGCCAAAAGGATTTTGCACAAATACAATACAGAAAATAAAGTATAGATGATGTTATTTGGGGTAAAAATATAAACAATACAGTACCATTTGAGTAATGTAGCAACATAATATTCATACTTTACAGAAATAAAACTGCAAACCTGGAGAATGCTCTGACAAATATTAAACATATATATACAATGAGGTAAATGTACCTTGGTCTCTTGAGAGGTAATTGAAGTTTAAAGCAATTGATATTTTGAAGCATCTCCTTGACATATAAAGAAATATCAAACACCCCATTCTATTGGCACAATGTGAAAAAGGGATATCAAAACATGGTTCATGATATTCATTCACAAATCTTGTTAAAAAATAAAAACAAATTCACTGAAGTTCTTTTTAAGCTTTAAGAAACAGGTTGAATGTTATTAACCACCTTTTTAAAGTTCATAATTACAAATAGGATTGCATAATGGGACTGAAAAGTTTAAATGTAGTGACAATCTTCAGAGGGTCCCCGAGGCCCAGCACTCCTAGACAGAGGGCCCTGGGTGTCCCGGCGGTCTAAAATAGACACAAGAAGCGGCAGTACGTATCCAGAGCTATTCTTACGGATCTCAGAACGGTAAGAATTGATATTTTTTGCCAAGTTGTAACAGAACCATAATTTGCAATCTCCAGCATCTTGCAGCCAGAACACCACCACGTTCAAGAAACTAAAAACCAGCTGACTTACAATCACTCTTTCAGTGCAAGGATAAAAGTAAACTTTTGATATTACATGCTTAATGGGATACTGATTTTGTTGTACATTTTAATCAGCACTTTGCCATTTTGTTTTACAAAATATTCTATGCGTTCTCAGGTGTAGAGAAAACAATGGTAGTTCGTGCATAAACTGCAAAATGGCCAAGTGACCACTTACGGTTTGTAGTAAGAACTGAACTTTAAAATTCTTGACAGCCATGGCACGTACACCGACTCAAGGCACTTCTTGAGCACTATTATTACAGCAGAATTACAGGCTCAGCTCTTTGGGCCTTACCCTGTCCTATAGTGGGCACAGCTGGCGACTGCTGCGGGCACATCGCCCACGGCCACAGCTGCCAGTTATCAGCCAAGGCTGAAGCCAATGAAGGGCAGCCAGCAGGGCCATCCCCTGCCCAATCTCTAAACTTGGAGACCCCTCCCAGCAGCATTCAGTGAATCAAGGAAATGAAAGCATGTCCCACACTTTCCATGGACCACTTTGCTCTAGATATGAAAGGCAGCTGTTTGGTCAAAAGACTGTTGGGGCGAGGGCGACGGAGGGAGGGGACGGTTGTCAAGGCTGTGGTCTCTGAGTCAGGGATCAGCAGGAAGGCAGGCTGGGAGAAATGGCTGAAATTATTAAAGGAAGGAGCAGGGGCATCTGTGCCCAACTAGGTCAGACTTCCCTGGTCCCATTCCGCCGGTGTAGTGACAAAATGGACACGGACAGGTAATGTACCTGAAGGTGTACCTTGGAAGGTGGGCGTCTGAAGGTAGGCAATAGAAACAAAGGCCTGAGTTTCCAAATGACAAAATTAATACTCTAGTCAAATTTAACTGTGGCTGATCTATTTCATCTTTTAAATTACTTTCATTTTCAGTATTAGCCAGTTGAATTTTATCAAACTGTCATTAGCCAAAATAGGAATTAGCTGCAGTAATATGTAAACCCAATTTAGAACTAAATCCAACTTTTAAAAAAATTCCCTGATTCATCAAAAGTGCATTTTATTCACTTAAGAAAGGTATAGCTGTAACTCAATCTTTGATTTAATGAAGAACATCTTTAGCAAAAACTGATTACCCTATATGAAACTGAGAAATCATGTATCACAACTTTAAATCAGACGAGAACTTTTGGTATGTTCTTAAAATTATATAAAAATAGTTTTAGTGATAAAATGCATTGGTCCCCTGGATTTCATAAAGATCTGGTAGGCTTAGAAATGGCAAAGAAAAATAAAAAGAGCGCCTAATCACAGAGCTAGAGATTTTTAAACAAGAAATATAACACAATTATAAAAACAAACCTCTCAAACTCATATATTTGCTTTGATGAAATCACGGTAACAACAGAAAAAAACTCAAATTTGGAGTCAAAATATTAACCTCTAAGCACATTTTCCCCAGGATGTTTTAAACACATGAAATTGACACTAAATTCCTATGTAATGCTATTCTTTCTAAAATTACTTTGGTTTTAAGACCAAAAGAGTCTTTCAAATTTATTCTATGAATAAAAGATAAGACATTATCAGAATGCAGCTCAGTCGGCGTAAATGGCCACTATCTCTCACTGACCTAAACGCTGTAAAGGTTATTCTGCCCCTTGCATTGGGAAATCGATAGCACTATGAAGTCAGTGTCTTGCCTCATAACTTAGACAGTTTGCCCCCCCGCAACCCCCCTGGAATAAGATCACAGTGATAAAGAAAACTTCAAAAACTGTGTAAGCCCTGCAAAGAGATTTAGCACTGGAAGTAAAAACCGGTCATTATAAGCTAGTTTCAACTTAATGTGAGAAGACCATAACCAGTTTATTTGAAACATTTAATCTGACCAAAAACACCTGTAAATGGAGAATCTATACTCAGAATATGCTTTAGCTACCACTCTCGCAAGTATCAAGAGTGTACTGAGTCTATTATATAACCATGTAAATTAAGCAGTTAAAATATCTGCACACAGAAGGAAAGACGGAATTAAAAGCTGCCTTCTTCAAAATGTAGTGAGACCTCAAAACCACGCCAAATCTAACCCTAGTTACAGAGACAGAAAACCCACTGGACAATGACTCCTACATGACAAATGTGACTCTCTTGCACACCTGTTGTCTACTCCAATTATTAACTACCTTTACCCTCCTAGAAAAAGGCCTATCATTTAACATTAACCATACTCTAGCTTTAAACATAATTCATTTCTTAAAAAAATAACACTGTCTTTGATCAGATAAAGAACAAATGGCTTACAGAATGCCACACAGCTTTTCACAAGCAGCTAGACAAATTTTCCCTTTTAGAAAAATTAGTCTGTATGCTCCAATTTTAAATTAAAGTACTAGAAGCATCTTGAGTGCCACTCGATGTTTTTTATAGTATACTGAGACGACACAACTAAAATGCAACAACTTGATGTGAGACTATTCAAACATGACCATGATAACAATTTACCGATTAATGCCACTTCGTTTCTTTAGTGGTTTAAGCACATTCTGGTAGAAGAAAGGCATTTTCAAAATGGAACACCCAATGACATACCACAAAACCTCTTCCAAAAAAACAAAACAGAAAAAGTCTGGGTTACCAGGTAAATAAACTTTTTGAATTGAAACACTACAGGTTTTAACAAGCACAGGCTTTAAGCAATTCTACTCGTTTCCATTAGAAAGACACAGAAGTGGCACTTACTGGTATAGTACAATCCCATTTTGAAGGCATGTAATGTTCTGAATATGTGAAAGAACAATAATAGTATACAAAACACAATTGCATAAATTATGTTCCTCACTACTATATGAGGTCGTTTTTAGACTCAAGATAAGAGTTTTATAAACGTTACTTTTAAGATCCTGAAATTTATAGAACAGTACATTCAAAGTCTGAATCAAAGAAACTCTTTAGTGGTTCAGAATCCTCTGAGAATGTACTAACCAGGAGTAAATCACTTTCTTTAAAACTAGGAAATGCTTCGTATAACTCAGCGATCCAGCTCCTTTACCCTTAAGATGATCTTCAGCACAGCAGAGTTACCTAAAGTTAAGACCAGCAATCATCTTTAAAAAAAAGTTTTGTATTAATAAAAAATAAGGTAGACTACACAACATTTTTCAACTGTCCTGGGAAAGAAGAGTTCATAGTGCACAGAAAGGACCCACACAGCTGTTTCCTGGGTCCAAAGAAATCCTGGGAAGTTTTAAATTGACCTTATTACACACTGTTGCAAAAGGAAGCGATATCCTTCTATTCCCTCTCAGTGAGGTAGAACAATTGACCTCCCCAATTAGAACCCAGGAGCAGATCTGAAGAAGAGTAGAGTTCAGGCAAAGCCGCAGAATTACATTTTGATGCCCTCCTGTTGACTGAGTTGTGACAAAGTTTTCTTAATCCGCAAAGCTGTAAGCCTAGCTGCTCCATTGGCATACCAACATTCTCTCATAATTTTAGCCATTACTCTCAAGGCCTACAAGAAAATACAGAAAAAAAAATATTATAATTAATGCATGAACCACTTTCCATTGATCTGGATAAGAATATTTACCTGAAAGTTTTCTTTCTAAATGATGTATATACAAGTTTTGTGTTTGAGCACAACTGTGATACCATGTGACTAGAAATAACCTAAACTCCCATCAATAAGGTACTGGTGCCAGCAGCTGGAAGGCAGAAAAGACGTAGTGACTTACTCAGCAGACCTGAATAAGCCAAATCCTGAACCAGAGCTGTGCAAGGCAAAGAAGGAACTTGACTCACACTGAAACACCACTTCAGCTGAGGAATTCACTGTGTCAGGTACCTCTAGGATGAAGTTTAGGCAAAAAATAGAAGCATCAGCCAAAAGAACTGGAACCCCAAACACCTGCCCCTCCCCTACCCCAGCAATAGACTAGAGGTTTGTATCTGAGAGGGTAAAACAGAAGTTTCTGACTTGGGGAACATAGAGGAGAAAGTTCCGTACTGACAACACACTAAATGCTAAGGCCGTAGGCTCTCTCCTCAAAACACAGGCAGCAGCAACATGTACACACTCCTCCAGGCAAGTGACTAGAAGAGTCTTCCCTGGGGGGTGTCAGCTGCCCCAGAGGAAAGACCTGAAGGGACTGGCATCAGTGGTTCCCCAGGAAGCAACCCTGCCAGACCACGTTCAAGGTCAGTCAGAAAGCTCCATTCACCTACACGGAGCTCCCTGTGAGCTTTCCATGTCCTGTGTTCAAAAGACAGTCTGAGTTTGATCAGACATTTGGGAAAAGTAGATAAAATGAGAAGCTGACACAAACAGAGAAAAAGCAATTTGGAGAAAATGGACACTGTACACAGAGAAAAAATATCATTAACATTCTCAAAGAGAGCAAAGAAAATATGGTATTGGATTTATCACTGATAGTTTTTTGTTTCTTGTTTGACCTTGACAAAACTTTACAGAAGTGGGAGATAAATCTGATTTTTAAAAAAAAACAAAACTGATAAACCTTTAAACCTCTCAGAAGTAGAGGAAAAGAAACAGAAATGGGTAACAGGATAGAAAACATAAGCAAATTGGAAGGAGGTATAACACTGATAATCAGAGTTGAAAAAAGAGAGGAAAATGAAAGTGAACAAATCAAAAGAAATATTTCAAAACACTTCCGCGAAATGAACATTTGTTTCCAGATTAAAAAGGATAACGTGCCCATCACAGACATATATTCATTCAACAAATATTTATTGAGTGCCTACCAAGTACCAGATGCCATCCTAGGTGCTGGGGACACAGCAGTAGACAAACAGAAAAAAATCTCTGCCCTCATAAAGCTTACATTCTAGAGCAGCAGCCCCCAACATTTTTGGCACCAGGGACCAGTTTCCTGGAAGACAGTTTTTCCACAGACTGGAGGGGGCGTGACAGGAGGTAGAACTCAGGCGGTAACGTGAACCAAGCTGCGCTCGCTGGCCCACCGCCGTGCGGCCCAGGCTGCGGGGGTGCGGGGGGACGCCAGGCCACAGACCGCTAGAGGTCTGCGGCCTGGGCTTGGGGGCCCCTGCTCCAGAGGACTAAAGCATAAAATCGGTGAGGAAGCAAACCGCATCGACTGTCAGCGGTTAAGTGCTAAGAAGAATCATCATTTAGGGGAGGAGATAAAAAGTGCTAGGCAAGGACGGTTTTTTAAATAGATGGAGAGAGTCTCACTGACAAGGTAACATCCGAGCAGAGGCCTGAAGGAGGGGAGGAATCAGCACACCAAGAAGCAGGAAGATGTGAGACCCAGGAAGGACTCACCGCAAAAGGGGCAAAGGGAATCCCAGGACGAGAGGCGAGGGATATCCCAAGACGAAAGCTGTACAGCTGGCTAGAGAGGAACGAGTCTAGACTAGAAAAGGTCAGAAGGTTCTGTAAGGCACTTGAGTCAGTTTCATATTCTTTTTTTAAAAAAATTTTTTTGAGAGCAGATTTATAAAACCCTAGGTAAGTGAAAAAATGAATTAGTGATGAGTATATACAAAACAAAAAAGAGAAAAAACAGAAGTGACAGCGATGGCATTACTTTGGAGTAATATGACAGTAACTGCAAGCTGCATGTATGCTCTTAATGTTAACCGCTGACTTTTCCTCATGCTTAAAGAAGCCATCTATCTGTTCAAGAATAATCTGCTCTAATTATTGAGTGAGTGCATAAATACTCAAGTTTTTACTCTGCAGTATTAAGAGCAAATTCTTAGAGACAAAAATCTAGCCCAATTTCCTTTACTCTTTGCACACATGAGATGTACTGTATCTGGGACTAACTACATGATTTTGTTGGAGGCAGCTAACGAGCTCTCTTGATGTCAAAGGTTCTACTGAGTCCTATGTTATTTTTATTTCTTTTATTCTCTCCCAAGGACACTCTTTCATTGCTTCTAGACAGAGAGAAAAGGAGAGAAAACCATCAACGTGAGACAGAAGCATCAATTAGTTGCCTCAGGCACACGCCTCGACCGGGGATCACGACCAGGGATCACACAAGACCAGACCAAAGACTGTACAAGCCCAGACCAGGCAGGAGGGGGCGGGGACCAAACCTGTAACCTAGGTACGTGCCCTGATTGGGAATCGAACCCTCAACCTTTTTGTTGCAAGACTACGCTCCAACCACTGGACCACACTGGCCAGGGCTGAGTTCTACATTATTTTAAGAGGTAAAACCAACTACTTAGTGGCTAGCTTTTTATTTCCCTCAAAGTGCAAAACTAAATCTGGAAGGAAATGGCTCTGCCTCACCAGTATTATAATTAGTAACACCTGGCAATTAAAGACAGACTACATAAAATTTGTTTGAAAAATTCTTTAAATTTATAACTACAAAAACATTTCTAAAACTTTTTGTAAGAGCTGGGGTTGAGAAGCTCAGACACTGCTGGGAAGCATTTCCCCCAAATTCCTGGTGAATGATCATACGGGCAAGCAGAAGAGTAAGATATAAAATCTGAACCCTCTTCATAATCATCTTACTCAAGCCCCTCATTTAACAGAATGTCCTGTCACAGAACTGAAGTGAATTACCCAAATGTCACCCTGAAATAGCATCCAGGCTTGGTCTGGAAGGCAGGTCTCCCAGTTTCCGCCAGCACCCACCCCGATCCGCGGGGCTGCTCTGACGGAAGGGGGGCGTTCATTTAAAAAGCGGGGGCTTTCGTTATTGGCAGACCCACACACTGTTCTGATGGCCGCTGCCAATACTCCATGGCCCTTTCAATGTGAAAAATCATTCCATTACTAGCACCCTGTTAGCATCCGATGAATATGCTGTCAGCCATCTCTGTTCATACAGAGACAGTATTATAAACTGAGATATTAATAACGTCCGCTAAATCCTAATTGCTATCTGCTTTATGATCTTAGCTAAACATGAACATGAAAAACAAATTATTGGGATTTTTTTCCTCACTGGTTTAATTGCCATGAAAAAGAGAGAAAAGGGAATTCTTGTCTCTGTTAATCTTAAAGAAAAGTAGCAAATTCCCACTAAGCAGAAGCAGTTTAGAAAACTGCATAGTATCTAGAAATACTCACTTCACAGCTCTGCCATCTGTTTGGAATATTTGGCCTCAACTTCTGTTCACAAACGACCTTTCTCATTTCTTCAACTGATGGGTCGGAGGGTACAAGATCATAGTAAGGCAGCTGGTAATCTTCATGAATTCCTACATTGATTAAAGAAAAGAAAGAAAAAAGAAAACCTATTTTAAAGAATTTACTCAGATAATGCCAGACCATTCTTTGGCCAAACGGGAAAGGAACACTTGAGCGTCATATTCCGGGGTCCCATGACTAAATTAGGGAAGTGGAACGGGGCTCACAGCTTGTTCTATCTCATCCATGTCTGTATCAACAACCCACCTCCCGGAGTTGGTTCTGGGCCCACACCTTGAAAGTAAATATTACTGTGGGAAGACAAAGGTTGTTTTTAATGATGGTGAACCAGGAGCTGGGAGGACTAGGTTTACATTTCCCCCTAGAACTCTAATGTGCAAGGAATGAGTTTTTATTCTGTGAGTGCACAGCCTCTCATCTTGGCATGGGAATACACCTTCTATCACTGAGCTGTGAGTCCTGCAAGACAAGTCTGAGGAGCAAACACCTTCCTCTACTTGCCTCTGTCAATAACCTGTCCCCTTTGTCACAATATAGGGACATACTCTGCCCCCCACAGCCTCAAAAACCTGAGACCATAGTCTCAGCCAAACGTGGGCCCCCAAGAATAAGAGCATTTCTCAAGGAAACATCCAAAGTGCTCAATCTAAAACTAAATTTAAAAGTTAAAACAAACTTACTTTAAAATGTAATGTAATGGCTGTGTGATTGTACAGTACTCTGCATTTCTAATTTCCAAGTTGGAGAAAATAACCACAATCTTGGTGAGGGGGGGAGGGGGCAGGTGGGGGAGGATCAGTTTGACCCAGGTCCATGTTAGAAACAGCTTCCGAGTGGCCACCGAAGTAGTCACCCATTCTAAATAACTGTATTTCAAGATAGCAAAGGTTAGTTTCTGATGCTTGCCAAGATCCAAGTGGAAACAGAAGAAGAACACACTAGGGTAAAGCTGTACATTGGAATAAAGCATGTCACGCCATTTTTCCTCACTATAGGTTTTAGCTCCTTTATGTTCTTTGGCGCTCTCATGATCACCCGGTGAAGATCATTTCAGAATGTTGATGTGTATAATTTTATTCAATGAAAGGGAAGGCAATTCTGTTAACTTTGTTCACGATAAACTGTTGAGGAAAGGGGGAGAAACTTACCACCAATGGAACATCTTCGGGCTATTTCCCAGAACACTAAGCCCATTGCATAGATGTCAGCGCGCTTGAAGGATTCAAAGTGTTTCATATTTATGGAATCATCTAGAACTTCAGGGGCCATGTACCTAAAAAAGAAGCCAGCATTTTATTTTATTGAATGGTGGCCATATGACTATTGAACTCTTTTACCCCTGAGAATTAAAAATAAAAAAAAAAATCAATATTAAGACTTTTGTCCTCTTTTAGCATGGTTCTGCTTTTTTTAAATGACTCATACTTCTTATAGAAATTTTCCCAAAGTACATAAAGTACAAAGTGAAAAATCATTCCATTATTAGCACCCTGTTAGCATCCGATGAATATGCTGTCAGCCATCTCTGTTCATACAGATACAGTATTATATACTGAGATATTAATAACGTCCGCTAAATCCTAATTGCTATCTGCTTTATGATCTTAGTTTCCTTTGAAAGCCACAGGTAATAATCGACTGTTAACAAATTTCCTAACATTTACCACCTCCTTTGCCATGTATTCTGCAGGGACTATGTATTTCTAGAAGTCTCCTCACTAAAATAGGACGGAAGATAGGGCAGGGACAAATTTCAGGGAAGAAAATAATAGATTAAAATGAATGCCAGCCCTCCTACTGATGCCACATCATGGAGTCCTAAAGTCTGAAAAACCCTGCTAAGGTTACAGATCAAGACCTACAAAGACCTGTTGGGGGCGGGGACGGACCCTGTAGCAACCACTGTCCTAGAACCCAGAGTTGAGAGTTCTGAGAGTCCCTGTTGAATCCAGAAATCCTGAATACAACTTGGATAGAATAAAGCTTGGCTCTATCCAAGGCCAAGGCAGTGGTTTGAAAATATGTTGCGGCAACGTGCCGTGATACAGAACAAGCTTGTGTTCACAGGTCCAAATCTCAGCTCTTCAGCTTACCATCTATCCATAAGAGAGGCTGGCCACATTACAAAACCTCCACGAGGTGCATTCCTCATCTGTGAATTGAGTAATGACTCCTATCTAGTTAGATTCTTTGGACAACTTGTGGATTCAACAAATATTTACTGAGGACCTACTATGTATTAGGCACTGTGATAGATTCTGGGAATACAGTCTGCTTTCCAGCAGCCTGAAATCCAATGGAATATACAAATAAATAGACAGTTACAGCATAATGTGTCAAGTGGTTCAATGGTGCAAGTTCAACATGATATGAGAGCTCTTCGCAAGAATATCTCATAGTTCAGAAAAGCCTTCCTATGCGAAAGAAAGGGTGTGTACAAGTTAGGGAAACAGTAGGGGAAAGTAGCTTTAGGATGCAACACATGCAAAAGTTCTAAGGAAGAAATAAAGGCATATTTTCAGTAACTGAAAACAGCTGGGCTAGCTACCATATAGCATTTGACTTGGGCATTAAATGAGATATTAAAAAAGACTCATTAAAATAATTGGCACATAGCATGCACCTTAAAAACATTAACTCTGATTGTTATCATAATTAACATAATGAATGATAGCATCTTCTGGAAGGACCACCTTTCATCAGCAGGCATGTTTTAGGTCAGGTAACCTTGGTTTCAGAGCAGGCAAAATCTTAAGATTTTCTACCTGTGGCCAGTTTCATAAAAGTTTGCATTTCAGAGGAGATATATATGCACAGATGAGAAGGGAAAGGAAAAGAAACTGCTTTCAGAACATATTAAATACTATTAGTGCGCGTGTACCTTTTTGTTCCCACTCTGTGATTTGGAGCGATATCAATTGTATCTGTGGCTGAATCATGCCTAACTGCCAGCCCCAAGTCTGCAATACAGCAAGTTCCATTCTTTTTTACCAAGATGTTTTTTGATTTCAAATCTCTGTGAGCAATGGCTGGTTTTCCTAAAATCAAACAAATAAACAAACATAATTGCTTAAACGATAATACCAATCACAATTCTTTCTTTTAGATTCGAAAGTCTCCTCTCCCCTCTCAGTGCCAAGGCATTTCAGGCCGCATCACCCACAATACCCAGACCAGTACTTAATAACCTCAAGTGAATCAGGTAGAAAGTGAACAATCACTAGAGCATAGAGAATTCTGGTTATCTGATATCCTGCACGGCACACAAGTCGTAGCATAGAAAATTCGTAACTAAAACTGAGTATTTAACTTTTCAACTAAAAAAGGTCCTTATGCAGTCTCCTTATATCAAAGTCAAAAATAATTTTGTTAGATAGCCAGGTAACATTTATACAGCACGTTGATGTTTACAGAACATTTTCACATTTCATTTGATACTACACACACACACACACACAAAAACATTCTCTTAGACTTGAGTTCTAAAATCAAGATCCTCAAAAAAATCACAAATAGGAAACTGAACTCATAAAAATATCAGTGTTGTTACAACTACAGGATCTCTATAAACAAATTCCCAGATTCCTGACTCCATCTGAGATTTTCAACAGTAAGATAACATCCCCGATTAGGCTGATTGCTTGCAAAAATTTTCTGGACACTAGATCAATGGCAATTTAGAGCTTAAGTAACAGGATTGCTTCAAGTTACCTTGGGTACCGACAATCTCCATATGAAGATGGGCAAGTCCACTTGCTGTGGACAGAGCGAGTTTTATCATTCCTTCCACAGTAACTGTGTATCTGTTCAAATAATCAAAAAGGGATCCATGCTCATGATAATCTGATACCAACCAGAGCTGAGTCCATGTACCATTGTCTGCAAAGTATAGTAACAATTATTTCAGATGGGCTGTGGAACATTTACAATGTATTTGTTCAGAAATTTTCACTTTACTCTCTATCCCAAATCCCACAACTGCAATATGATGGTACCTTAAGCTTGCATGTGTTTCCTTCACATTTTCTTGTATTTTCAGTTTGTCTTATACTTTTATGTATGTATCCTTTAGATCCTCAGAGTAAGCCCCCCATTCTTGAGATAAGGCTGGATGACCAGTCCCATTTAAGAGACAAGGAACCATAGTTCAAAGATGGTAATCTTGAGTCTACACAGATAGCAGCAGAACTAGAAACTCTTTAGTGCCTAGAAAAATGCCTGGTTCAGGGTAGGTGCTCGATGGCTGTTTCTGGAAGGATAGAGGGAAACAATGAAGGAGAGAGGCAGGAAAATGAGAAGCCTCAGGACCCTAGTGTAGCCACAGGGGGAATGGTGTAACACGGAACAAAACTCAAAGTGAGGTTAAGTAAAGAAATGCAACCTTTAATGGCAGATTCTATATATAATTCACAAAGAAACCAGACTGCAAGGTTTCCAGCTTAGAGAAACATAAAAATAGTGGTATCACTGACACATGGGGAAGCTGAGACAGGAACTGAAATGTCAGGAGGAGAAAAAGCTGGGACTGAACCCAGTTTTATATACATAAGGTGATTTTGATTCTCAAAAACTAGGAATGTGCCAGAAGTTCATTTGTAAGCTGATACATGAATTTGCAGTGTTTTCCCATGAGAATCAAGGTAAAGGTTCTGGCTAGGCTGATCTACAAATGCCTATTTAACCTAGAAGTAGCTGGGAATATAAGAAAAACCACGTTTCATGAAACTGTGACAAAAGAAATGTGTTGCAATAGTAGGAGGCAGCACAATTCAGTAAGAGGTAGCAACCTAGTCATTCTGACCTGAGCTGAAATCCAGGGGCATTACCGACTAAGTGACCTCAGACAAATATCTTTACCAATAAGCCTCTGTGTCTCCTTTTACCCGGTAAGAATACCTTATTTTGCAAGACAATTAAGATTTTTAAAATAAAATCACAGATTTTTTTTTAAAAGCATTTAGTAAAATGCATGGAGCATTAGGACTTAAAACGCACTGCTTCTTTCCTCATTAATTATAACACAAAAGGAAAAACCCAAATTGACAAAAAACAACTTCTATATTTTAAAGGTTGTTATCTGAAGGAAAGCAATTCTGATTAGAAGAGATTAAGGAAGATGTTTTCAGAAAATTCTGGAGGGGATTTCTAAGTCCTTTCAAGAGGATTTAGAGATTCATGATACTAGTTATTTGTAAACTTGTTCTTCATCTTTTCTTTTTCCTTGTACAGATGTATAACTAGCTTTATCTGCTTGCTTATTAACTATGAATTCTAAAAGGCTCACAAATACAAAAAAAAATCAAATAGGAGCACAGGTGGATGGAAGAAAGAAAAATTTTATGAGGTAATTGACAAGAAAGGCAGAATGGAGAAGGATATGTAAGGGGCTGTGCCTATATAAAGGGCTACCTGGGTAGAATGAACTAACTCAGGGGGAGGAAGATGCAGGAGAAGGGCACTGGGGTGGAGGAGCTGGGGAAGAGCCAGCCAGGCCCGCTGGTTCCCGTGGCGACCACCAGATGACAGCACTAGTTTGGGTGTTGCTCGAGAAAACGCGAAGAAAAAGCTCAGGGCACAGTTGGTGCCAGTGTGTTTGCGATTTGGAACGTGCCTAACACATGCTGGGCTTGGGTGAGGGGTGAGCCTCAAAATGCAGATCTGAAAGTTACCACTACAACAGAGTTTGAAGCCACAAATGTGGGTAAGTTCTTTAAAGGAACAATTACTACTTGTAGAATTAGAGCCTTCATAGAAATCAGTAAGAAGAGTTTCAGAAAACAAAGACAACTATTAAGAAATAAAGTCCAGAGTCACAGAACATAATAAAGGTTGTTTTACAAATTGAAGAAGCTAAATGGTGTCAAAGACAGAAGAAAATGAAAACTAAGGACTTGGTTAGATTACGATCACTGCCTTTTGTTTTTATTTTGTTTTTAAATTAAGTAACATTGACCTGGTAGCCGCTGCTGATAATCACTGCCTATCCATCACTGACTCTTAAGTCACAAAAAAGAGATAATCAAACCAAATGACTTTACTCTCTATCCCAAATCCCTGACGTGATACAACAATATACAATAGACAGGAAATATTTTCAGGAAACCAATCAAATGTAATCTGATTCAGTATCGAATTCTAACTACCAGTTTTCAGATAATACAAGTAGCAAGTTCAGAGATACTATAGGCCTTCAATTAGCAAAATCCAGAATGTAATAAGCCCTACACAACAAACCATCTGGTTTCTTTAACAAATAAATTACAACAAGAAAAAGCCTAGAGATTTTAAGGGACTTAAGATAAATACCAAGCAAATGAAATGTGTGGACTTTGGATCCTAAAGTGAATAGCCAATTGTTTAAAAAAAAAAAAAAAAAAAGACAACTGCAGTATGGTTATGTTTCATAAAAAGTTCCTTCATAATTTAAAGATATAAATTGAGAATGCCTACGGATGGAAAAATGTTACCTAGGAATGGCTTCAAATAGTTTAGTTAGGGGCAGTGCAGGTGAAATCAGAGATCATACATGACTGGCAGTGAGCTAATAATTATTGAAGGTGAGTGCTGGAAGTTTATTATTTTCTTCTTTTCAGAGAAAATAGAAAATTTTCTCTGAAGTTAGAAAAATAAACAAGTAATAAATCCTTGTTATAAATCAATCTGAAAATACAGAGAAGCAAAATGAAAAATTTTAAGATCATTCACAGTTACCGAGATTAAACACTAATAGTTTGAAACAATAAATACTGTTGAAGAAAGTGGGAAGGGATAGATGAAAAAAGATGACTATGGTTCTGGCCAACCTCAAAAAGATGATGGCATTTTTTTAAAAAACAGGAAATTGGGAAACATTTGATTCAGGGTGGGGATGATGAGAGCTGAGTTGTAACCTAAGTCTCTGACAGAAGCTATAAAAGCAGGAACTGTGGCAAAAGGTAGTAACTGAAGCCAAGAAAATGGGTGAGTCCAATATGGAGTCACAGCGCGCAGTCACCACTCACTCCGACTCTCCACTGACAGGGCCTCCTTGCCTCCTCAGCATCTGATCTCACCCAGGACCTTAAGCACCTGCTGGGCCCCAAGTCCCGGAGCAACAAGCAAGGAAGTGTCATGATGGAAAAGAGAAACCATGTCTCTATCTAACTGAGGTTACTTAAAAGATTAATCCATTTAGCTCCTGACAACTTAAAACATAGAATACACTGAGAAGTTATTTTCACTCTCCTTACAGATAAGTCATTAGTATATATCAGAATGCCCTAATGGTCGGAAGACGTGAAATGGAAACAGGCATCTGGGCTCTACCCTACCTCAAAATTTTGAGCAACCTGAGTTTATAATTTTTTCTGTATTATGACTGTACTTAATAACTAACTGTCCAGAGGCAAAAATAACAAAAGCACATGGCTTTTTAAACAAATTGCCCTTTATATTTTGTAAGACAATAACATATTCCTAAATCTCTAAGAGTCAAGAAAATCTTTAAGAAGTACCTGGTTCTAAAGGCTTCTAATATAATCCATTTGACCGAATAGGTCTAACCTATATGACACACATCTATTTTTCTCATTAAATTTTACAATGTTTCATAACAATACCTTTAAAAAGGGTTAATTAGGTAGATTTTGTTACATTCAAAGGAGAAGGAAATGTTACTGACCTTTATTGTCAGCTGCTATAAATCCCAAGATGTTTTCATGACGTAACATTACGGTTTGATATATCTCTGCCTCACGGAACCATGAACGCTCTTCTCTAGAGGAGAATATTTTAACAGCAACTTCTTCTCCTCTCCACTTTCCTCGCCAAACTTCTCCAAATCGACCTTTGCCAATACTTTCTTGTAATACAATAGTTCTCGCAATTGTTCTCTGAACAAGCAATGGTAAACCTGAAGATAAAAATAAGTAGTATTCAATACAAAAAAAAAAAATCAACAACAGTATGGGTTTCCAACACCATGACAGAAAAGTAGAGCTTAATTATTTTAAGTTCTACTTTTAAGGAACTTACAATCTCAATGAGATAAAGGCTACCATTTGCAAAAAAAAAAAAAAAAAAAAAAAAGCAATTCATGATTAAAAAGCAAGTAATAAGTACAATAAAGAATCCAGAAATTCCTGCCTACAGCGTCAAGGTGGGCTTTGTAAAGTAAGTTGAATTTAGACTGGCCTCTACAGAGCGACAGAACCAAAAGGGAGGAGGAGGAGGAGTAGGTAAAATATTCAGGTAGGAGGAATATGCGAGCAAAAATAGAAGGAAATGACTGATACATGTTTAGGGGACCAGCTTAGATAAACAGAAAAGGGAAGAAGCATGTAGTAATAAAGCAGTGCCAGAGAAGGTAAGCTGTTACCAGAACATGACGAGGACTAGATAGATGCCAAGCTCAACATGACCAATGACAGCTGTGGGTAAAAGAACAACTGTTAAAGATTTCTAAAAAGAGGCCATGTATGGGAAGAAATAATTTAAAAATCTGATTTCAGAAAGATCAATCGGGTAACAGTTCCAATTGTGGGAGGAGAAAAGTAAGGAATACAAGACACAGAAGTAAATGTTGGCCTAACTTTTAATAAATCAGTAAAAATTATCACAGAAACCATTTCAAGACAGGCAATATACTTGCTAGGAACGGGCCGCCTAGGCAACACTAGTATCTCAAACAACAGTGTCTTGTAATTTACTTTGGTAATGGGAGACTGGCTTTTTTGTTTTTCCTTCTTACCAAGTGTACTTGAAATACTCTGAAACATGTAATTTGAAATACTGCCACACGTATTGCATTACAGACAAGAATTTACTACCTACAACGTTTAAGTAATACCATATTTGGGACTGCTCCAATTCACTTAAAAATCATATGCCCCTTGGACTAAGGAACTGTCACCTAAAATTATACTAACACTGACAATTAAAATACCAGTGTATATCATGATATACACTATCATGTAATGTGTACAATCTTAATGATCACAATATTATACTATCATAATAGATTAATAAATTGATTAATAGATTAATACATACATTTATACAATCTATTACATATAGTTGTGTCAGTTATAACCTATATTCAGAGTTGCTTGCTAGATCAAATTAACCCAATGATAGTAAATGAAGTCATCTATTCTCTTTGGTTCCCTAATGTCAAATGCTTGTAAACCCAAATGCCAAATCTTTAAGGCCATCAGAAGTTTTTCTCTTCACCTCTACGTTTCTCAAATGGGTTTTTTCCTCCCCTTGCTCTACCTACCCTCCCTGCCTCCTACAAAGCAGTGAGCAGTCTAAACAATTGTTTTTATGTTTTTATTTATATGCTAGCTAAAAACAGAGCTGTAAAAAATCCTTATTTACATCAAGGAGCTCATTTGTATTATGAAGAATCAACTCCTAATTAAGCTTCATTGTGGATACTAATTTACTAAGTTTTCTTAAAGCCTTTGAACAGGGCCATACCATGTACTTAAAGATCTAAACTATACTTACGAGTCTATGTCACGAGGTTAATCTGGAAGTTGGAAAACCAGGGAATAAAGAAGAAAGGGGAATGCTGACTAAGAAGTCTGAAAATGCCTGACAATTCTAGACTCATGTAAATGGTATGAACAAGCAAGGCTAAGGGGACAAGGAAAGTGTCTGTCAGCCCCCTCACCCCTGGATTCTAGATGCAGACCTAAAATTAGAAACCACATATAGATTCATCGTGTTATCTGTATTTGGTTATTACAATCTATATGAATACCTGAGCATTTTTAAAAAGTAATAATTTTCTTCTCAGGACAAAAATAAATAGGTCTAATTTAGATCTCTATATTCTCTGCTTTACTGTCTGTAACTTTAGAATTGCTTGAGAAACTTAAATAGGGAAAAAGCTTCACATTAATGAACAGAAATAAGACCTGACCAGCTCGCATCCATTATGAGATCATGAACGTGAACAAGACATGAGAACATCAACAGGAGACTCACTCTCTTTCAAACACTGGCACACATGCGCAGGCTCACACAGACGTTATGATCTAACGACAGCTTAAAAATGGGCACGTGCACAACCTGCAATTCAAGCTAATGCAACAGGGATTAGGTCAGCTTGAAGGTTAGAGCTGCCGAACCCAGCTCTCCACTGCCTTCCCTCCAGTTCCCAAGTTAAAGGCAGTCTCTGTGATAGACAGGGCCTTTCCTCAATGATGGTCATAGCGCTAAATTCATAAATAGATAAATACATAACATCAAATGTTTAGTTTTACCTTTTCCTCAACAAATGAAAGCACTATAAAGGGTATTATATACAGACATTTTATTTACTCACAAGCATGAGTCCAGTGCATGAGGTGGCATTAAGGTTTTATAATGAATAGAAGGGAAAGACACAGCATTTTCTGCTATCATTCAACAGATGCAAGCTTCTGTCTGGATAAATCTGGAGGCCATTCAGCACGCAACAACTACGACAGGGACAGGAGGCCTTAAACTAAGCTTTTTTGTACAATGCAGCAAATGGATACTGTATGTCGGATTTTTCTTCCAAATACCTTTTATATCAGTCATTTGGACACACTTTTACCATTTACCACATGCTTTTACACAAACATCTTTATCTCATTTGAACCTCACAACAATCCGATTACTTTCATTTCAAAGGTAAAATAACTCAGGCATGAGACATCATCTAACTGCCCCAAACCACAAAGCTAGCAAACAACGTAGACAAGTTTTTGCAGGATAAGGCATAAAAGGAGAGCAAGAAGCTTTCAGACAACAGCTCTGATCTCCGATGGCTCTAGAAATAAAGATAAAATGGAAAAAAGAATAATTCCATTCTTTACTTCATGTCTTTGTCTTTAAGGCAAATAAAATGTATTCTGATTGGATAATCAGCTGCCATCCACACAGCCATTCCTTCTGATCCTTTAGGTAGGCCTGTTCGCCTTGAGCTCTGCTACATTGCGTGCCAAGTGGCATGAGCTGCTTTGATTTCCCTGGGCGTAAATTCGGCAACAACAGAACAGGTCCAAGGGATTAATTCCAAATGATTCGTAGCCACCTTGATTTCCTGTGACTTTTGGTCCTTGCTTATCATAGTATTTTGGTCCAGAATTACTTCTAAAATGAGCCAATTCTTCTTAGGGAACTCTGTGGACTAACTCAGAATGAATGGAGAAGCCCAGAGAAGCCCTAAAACAATCTCCACTCCTCTCCCATTCCTACCCAAAGACAGTCACATCTTCAGGACTGAGGCCACTTCATCTCCATCCAACGTCTCATTGCCTCCTCCTTCACAATGGCCTCAGGGGTCCCTAAAGGCTGCCCTATGAGACCTGGGCTCCAGCACAAGCCTACATGCATCCTAGAAGGCATGGACAGAACTCGCTTACTGAAAATATACGTAATACGGCCAAATTCTCCAGAAGACTTCAGGTCATGAGATCAGTTTCTTCATACTTAAATAAATGAACAGATATACATATATAACAATACATATTAATTTCCTTAAAATAAATAGGCATTTGTCATTATGTGAACTTTATTATCAGATGTGATTGTGTGCTTCAAAGTCATAGTCTTTCCCCAGTCACAATTTCTGGTTTAACAGTCCTTTAATCACTTGATTATAAAAGTACTGAAATTTTCTAATCTTCATTTTATCCATAAATGGAGTCCTTATTTGAAGTTTATTTATACTTTTCAAAGGCTAGATAGTATATCTCATTTGTAAGTCCTAACAAGCCACTTTAAGTGCTATTACCAATAGTATCTTCCTATTTCTTATGTGGAAACAGAAGCCCAAAGAGGACATGGCTTAACCAAGGTCGGAGAGCCAGTCGGTGACAGCGCTTACACTGAAATCCAGATCTCGATTCCTACCGGTGTCAAATTACACTACTGTAGAGGATAAGGGTCTTTGTCTTCTAGGATCCTTCCAAAGCAAGAAAAAGTAAAAAATAAATCCCCTTCAGCTTAAACATAAAGCACTGCTATATCAAAATCCACTTCAGGGGATAATGTGGCAATTTGCCAGCCTATTTCTGATTCCACAAAAGTCACCAGACCTGAGAAAAGCAAACATCACAGGTGCCATGGATTCAAAAAGTCAAATTAAATAACAAGCTGATTAGACTTTTTTTTTTCCTGAAGTGAGGAAATGGCTAAAAGTTCGTAACTTTAATATAAAACTAGGCCTGAGGTAAAGAAACCAATGTCATTTGCTAACAAACAACCTTCACAATGTGAAACATATTTTCTGTCCTGCCTGCCTTCAAAGACACCAATAAAGCTGTTACACAGTACTAAGAGAATGGGTAGCAGCACATAGCCTCACCTATGAGAATAATTCTCCTTGTTCTTACTACCTCATGGAGTCATGAGAATGTGAGAATGCTTTGAAATTTACAAACATGAAGCTGACATACTGACTTATTTCAATGAAAGTAAGTTCTAATCTGTCCATACTAAACTAGCCTCAGTCAGATATAAACCAAGCTTAAAGGCCTTCATTAGGCTGAAAGCTGGAATAGCATTCATACTACCCCAAGTTTTAACAAACTAAGCCAAGTGACTTAGCCAACTAATTAGTTATTTTTTTTAATGATTTCTTAGGAAAAAGGAAAATCAATTACGTTACCTGATCCAGACCCTGATGTTGTCATATCATAAATTAAATCTTTTAACGTGGTGCCCTCTGAAATAAAAGGGCGATCTAACGAAGGGTCCTCTTCATTTGGCACTCGATGGTGGATGGCGGTGCGGTTATGGCAGATATAGACCATCAACATGAGTGAGATGCACACAAAGCAGACTGGCCCAGCAATGACAGCCGCCAGTTCAACGGGACCGAGGCCTGGGGACGGCTTTCCTGAAAAGGGGCAAGTGAAATACACATCATCAACAACAAACACACACTGTAGGTGACACTCACGATTTTCTAACCCCCCTCATTTCCTGTCGCTGGCCACCACTTAGTTGGCCTGCCATTAGTCATGGAGCCTCATTACAGCAGTTCACAGGGCTAGAAACCAGAGCGAGTGAATCATTCACTTTTCCCCCATAGGCCCTCCTTTTATGACCAACTCAGTCAACAACCACTTATTCTTCCTGCATTTTTCAGCCATCTAAATAAACAGCAAGGCCAGCTACCACCACCATTTTAGGACTTCCCTAGTTATTACTCTCCGGTCACTAATAAAAGAACCAATACTCTGGAACAACTCCCATTAACATCTTCTTAAGTCTTACTTAAGTAGTTCTGAGTTGTGTTCTTATTCCAATGCAAGTATATATATGCTTCATAGCAGGGGTGAAAATGTATAAACACAGATGAGTAGAAGTTAAAAAAAAATCATATACAGCCTCACCACCCCAAAACAATTCACATTTTAGTTTATGGATGTGTGTAAGTATCTCCATCAATTTTGTTCAGGCAAAATACAGTCCTTGTTTTTTATAACAGAGTTTGCACGTGTATACTTTCTAGTCTATTTTAATCACTTTGGCTTTTAATTTAAGAACATTTATTTTCTTATAATCTCTTTTAATAATTATTGTTTTACATTGTTCAAAAAAGACATTAATTACAATTACTTTGGCATTCATCTTGAGCCTTGCTGGATCACTGCACACCACCATTTCTTTAATAGCACATCTCCGTTCCTGACATCTTATTTGAATTGATTTCTTATGACAGAGAATTCTAATTCCAGTAATTTTTCTCAGGAAGGGGACATGGGCCCTTATACACTGAATACTTAATTATCTCAAGATGCCTGCTGCCTTTATATATGAAAAAATCTTGGCTTGTCTAAAGAATTTTGAATAACAATCACTATATAATGTTCCACTGCCTTCTGGTTTTTTAAAAAAGCAGAAAATCTGAACTTTTTTCCTTCTTATGGTGAATCAGTGTTTACTTGTACTAAATGTATATACACTTTTTTCTTTATTCTCTTTTTCTAATCCTTACCTGAGGATATTTTCTCTGATCTGAGAGAGAGGGAAAGAGCTAAACACTGACATGAGACAAAAACATCAATCAGTTGACTCCTGTATGTGTCCCAACCAGGGATCGAACCCTCAACCTAAGTATGTGCCCTGACTGGGAATCAAGCCTGCAACCTTTTGGTGCAGGGGATGATGCTCCAACCAACTGAGCCACCTAGTCAGGGCTTTTTCTTTTTTCTTAAAATCAGTATATCTTTCATTATATGTATTTGAGTTAAGTATTTTTAAATTAATTTTACATAGTATTCTTATCTCTTCTGTCTGCTCTTGTGTCTTTTTTTTCTGGAATTTTTACACTAAGCAAATGGGATCACCTAGATCTATCCTCTATAGTTCTTAATTTGCTTAACAACTGTCTTTTTCTCTGAATTGTAGCACAACTTTTCAAGCTCATCTTGCTTTAAGCTTGTCTCACATTGACTATATAATTACAGTATCTAGTCTACTGTTCACTTTCAATATTGTATTAAAAACATAATCCATCAATTGAGCTTTTCATCTGAAAGCAATCTTGAACAACTGTGAAATGTTCTCATTGTAAGGCGAACCGCTGAAAACAGACCTTGGTCTGTGAGTTCTCCCCAGTCATGGGGTGAGTCTATTTAAAAGGGTGACATCTACTCCGCTTTATCCAGTTCAGTTTACTTCTTTTAAACCACTGAAGCTTTTCACTTGGTAATGTTTTTGTTGTTTGCATATCAGGGACCTGGGAATGAGGAGTTTCTGTACTTTCAGCATTAGAAATAAAGTGAGTCCTTCACGAGGTTTTGTGAGTTTCCATTCAAATATTTCAAGTTCAAACAATGGCAACGGGCAATTCTGGAATTACCATACTATAACGGCAGAAGCTTACCAAAAAAGCCAGGAAAAAGCATGACAGAGCCTGGCCACAGGGAGACGCCCCGTCACGCTGCAGACCCAGTCTGACTTTGCTGTGAGCACAGGCACCGTGGGAAGGCTGCCTCCCTTCTCCAACTGCTAGGCTGGCCCTTTTCCTCTGAGCCACAGCAGTGCTTCCAGCTTTAATCTGCACGACGCCTGGACCAACTCTGAGTGGAAGGAGAACACTGTGGTCTGCCCCTCGGGGCACTGAAAGCAGGTGCTTCCTAAAGGAGGACTCGGGGAGTTTGCCCCTAAAGCCTAACCCCAGCCCCTCGGCTTATGGTATTGGTGGGTTTTGTAAGAGGTCCTTTTGTTTCTTTTCTTACAGTAGTTAGTTAACTTTTCACTAGTCTGAGGTCATCTGCTCTATAAATTGCAAAGTTCCTCACAAGTATAGGCATGTGGGTAGCACTATTCCATTAATTTTGTCAGCATTAAATACAGGTTCCCCTATTTTTCTATTTCTTTGATTATTACAGTAGAAATTTGGAATTTGAGGAAAGTGACAAAAGAGTTAAATAATGTGCTCAGACTGACATCTTAAACTAGAACCTTAAAATTAGTCTAATCCTAAGAGTTGGCCCTTAAAATTCCTGGCCATGCCAAGACATTTTAAAATGTAAACTATAATGAAGGACCAAAAACCTAGATCTCATATGTAATTTAAACATAAAGATCATAAGGCAAGGTGAAATTACAAAACGAATGCATCTGGACTGCTGAGTGCTGCTTTCAATTCCCACCCATTACTGACTGCTTTAAAAGGCTAGAGCACTGAACAAGGAAGAAGAAATCCCCTCTGAGGACAAAGGATGATATTCTGAGGACACACTGCTGCAGTGGGCTTTGTCAGAATTCGCTTTGAAGAGGCCACCGCTTCCAGCACAACAGACCTCAGAGAAAGTCTATCATGGAATCACCTTCTCACAGAACACACACGCAGCAACCAGGACCTTGGCCTCTCTTATAATTCTACAACTATGGGCAAGTTTCTTCTTGCCTCTAAACGGAACAAGCTGGGGTAGACAGTTCTTCAGTTCCCTTCCAGTTCTAAAGTCAAAGCCAGAGTCTAAGAGCTTCTTTTGTAGTATCAAGAAAACATCTTTTACAACCACTTACCAACAGTCGGGAGCTCTATTTTATTGCAGTGGTCCTGATTGCAGCAGTACGGTGTGGTGACTGACCCAGTTTTTGTAGACGGTGCACATACAAATGGTCGGTCTCGAGGAATTAAGTCAATTTCAGCTATACACATGCTATTGTGTATAATCTTGTCTGTGGTCTCTGTGACAGAGACAAAGCAGAGCCCATCTGTGACACAAGTAAAATTGTCTTTTGTGCAAAGGTGGCAGAAACACTGTAATGCTGGAAAAATAGAACGAGATCTTATTAGAAAATTTTCTCAAGGTTAACACTCTGAAATTACCCCATATTCCCTATAAGACATTCCTGATCCCATTAATTTCTTTGCACTGCTCAAAAAACAAAACTCTTTATTACTCAGAGAAGTTCCAAATCCTGCTGAGAAGCACACATAAGACGGAGCCAAATATGATGAAATTTGGACCCAGGTTTTTTCTAAAACTTTTTTGCTTCCAAGTATAGAGAAACTGTTACATGCAATTTCATCAAGGTAAAGGCAAACATTTACCCTCCCATTTGAAACAAAGTACATTTAAATTTTTACGGGTTATACTTATTCTTATTAGTCCAAAACTACTCATTCATGTACTCCCCCATTGGGAAGCAGTGTGTGAAAATACTATAACCTTCCACTAAAGGTTGTAAATGTCATCTGGGTGGATTCACGGGAAGGGAGTAATGGAAACAGATTTGTATCAAGCCACTCTTTTTTCTTGTACAAACACTGAGAAAGACATTTATCTTCTAGCCAGGATTAGGGGACGCTTTCAGTAAGCCAAGGAGACCATACAAATAACAATGTATATATGCTCTAACAACACAGGCAACCTGGCTACAGAAATGACTGGAGAAACACCAGCTCGATGCCCACTTGTATCTATTTGATCTTTATGGCTCATCCCAATGAGTGACCCCTTTAAGGGAGTCTCTCCCTAATTATCACCAACACCCTTCCATACACACAGAAACATGCCTTCCACCAGGCTCTCCAATGGTTAACTGCTCCCCAAAGCACACAGTGTTTACCAGAATCACTACTTTTGTTTTTCTCTCCCCTGTGAAACTCTAAGCTCCTTGAGGACAAGGACCCCTATTAATCATTTCTGTAAATCCACATTTAGCATTAAATCTGGTATACAGCAGCACTCAAAAATATTCACTGAATGAACAACAGAATAGCACTTACATTTCACTATAATCTCATGAAACTGCAAAGCACATTTCTTAAGAGCAATTAAACTTTCCAATTACCTGTTGGCAAGAAAAAAGGAAGAGTCCAGACACATGGCATGGCCATCTATGATGAGACCAAGGAAGTCTACTGTATCTAGGAAGAGTGGCTAGGCAGAGAGGCGGACCAGGAGAAAGCTAATTTGCTGTGTAGGGAAGGGTTAGCTCAACAGGCCTGAGCTGCCCAAACCCTGCCCATTCCCGAGAAAGGCTAGTCTCCATGCAAGGCCGGCCAGCCCTTGGCCAGTTCCTAGGAAATGAGCTCTGAACCCTTGAAATATTCCCCCTGATAAGAAGGCTGCAAGCCTGTGTCACTGGGCCCCAAAGAAAACCCTGGATGCTAAGGCTATGGCGAGTTGCCTTGATTGGCAAGTGCTGCCACATCGTTGTTGAGCTATGGGATGCACCTGTGTCACTGCACTGGGAGAGGACACCTGGAAGCTTGCAGTTTCTCCTGGACTTTACCCTGCATACCTTTTCCTTCTGATAATTTTAATATGAACAGCTTTTCTTAATCCTATGAGTCCTTCTAGCAATTCATCGAGCCTTAGGGTGCTCTTGTAGGCCCTCAACTCACTCGCTAAATCCAAATTTAGGAATGTCAGGATCCCCTCAAGCAGCTGCTTCTTGGTTGCTGGCTTAATTATAGCTCTCCAGTCTTTATCTCCACAGAGCAGAAAAGCTGTACCTTTAATCATTATTAAAAAATTGGTTCTTTCTTCATAGACAGTTCAGCTATTTGAATTATCTCTTCCTAAAAATGAAGAGAACTCAATAAAAGTATAAGAAAGAGACACTGCCATAACCTGACATGGAAAGACTGTTAATACACAGCAGTTACTCGTGGTGAGGTTTGGAGGTGATTATAGGTTTCTTGGGTATAATGCTCTAAGGCAGGATTCTGAACCACGAATCTATGGACTTGCTTCAGAAGGACATGAATTCCATAAAACTGTAAGCCAAATGTTGTATTTGCAATTTCTTTTTTTAAAGATTTTTAAAAATTTATTTTTAGAGAGGAAAAGGGAGGGAGAAAGCAAGGGAAAGAAACATTGATGTGAGAGAGAAACATAGACTGGCTGCTTCTGGCACGTCCCCCTATACTGGGGACCGAACCCCAACCTAGGCATCTACGCGCACTGGGCATAGAACCAGCGACCCGCCGCCTCACTTTGCGGGGACAATGCCCAACCAGCTGAGCCACACGGGTCAGGGCTGTGTTTGCATTTTCAACGAGGTTTATAGCTTTCAGCAGAACTACAGAGGTCTGTCACCCACAAAAGATTAAAGCCACCACCATAGGAGACTGTCATCATTCTCCCGAGTCCTCTTTACTCGTAAGGAGTCATTCAACCAAGGCTTTCTAAGCAATAGCTTTTTTATCAGTTACTCTACCAAGAGCTTAGTATACAAAGATCAGTAACGCACGATCCTTGAAGAGCTCCAAAGACTAGTGAAGGAGAACATTACAATATAATGTGGTAATTGCTATATATAAAAATTCTGCCATGAATAGTCTCCCAGTTCTAAGATCCTTACAGCTCCCCTAGAGTACATGAAGTAATACTTAAAACATTTAGTATAACCATTAAAAATTTTACTTTTGGGTTCCAACTTACCACTCGCATTACAAATGTCTTCTAGGGACACACATGTATCACCGTTATGATAATCATATCTTTCATGACCTTGGTCTTAACACATACTATCTTTCTACCCAGTTCAAACCCACCCTCTCATCCTTTAAGACCTGTTCGAAAAACATCTTTTCCTCTCTCCTACTCTTAGGATATCTGGGCAGCTCCTTTCAATAAGTACTCACAGCTCTCTTAGCATACCTTTATCATAGCACAAATCAAACTATTTATAGTTTGTTGTTAATGTGCCTCTCATTACATTAAGAATGGTCAAATTTTTTTTTTGTTTGTTTTCTCATCTTTGAATCCTGGATTACTAGATAGTGATCAGAAAAATATTTGCTAAAGCAGTGTTTCATAAACAGGAGGTCGCAAATATGTCAAGACAAAAATGGGAGTCTAAGAATTGTGTACAAATTTTTTTAACATTTAATTTAAAAGATAATCTAAAATGAATGACAAACATTCTGGATCATGAGTAACTATCATCTAAACAAGTACTGCCAGTAGGCTTTCTCTGCTGCTGCTTCAGTGTAAGATCTCCTTCAGGCCAAATATCCCTACAGCATGCTGCACGAGCAAAGGTTTAACAGTAATTGTAATTGAAAGAGTGAAAAATCAGAGCATATGGCAACATAGATATGGTATATTCAAAAGCCAACAGCTAACAGCCAATACCATATATATGCTGCAAACATTACATGGGTCCTGTCTTTGCAGCACCATTTGTGAAAGTTCATTAGCAGTAAATGTGGTTGTAAGTATGAAATGACATTTTTCCATTCGCACTCCAGCATTAATTGGTTTAGAGAACCATTTAATAAAGACTTCCGTAATGTCATAATGTTAACCTCATCTTCAAGACAGCAGACAGCTCATTAAAACTGGTATTTGAGAAATGCTTGTTGGCAACTATTTTGCTTAGGTTAGGGGTCTGATTATCCTAAACTTACAAACAGCCTTAAAGTCATAGATACCACCTGGCATAATATAACTTATGAGAATTGCAGCTTTTAGTATCACTTAAGCTAAAATACAGAAACAGACTTCAAACAGAACCAGACCTAAGGCTATTTTTTTAAATTATATTTTACTGATTATACTATTAGAGTTCTCCTAATTTTCCCCTCTTTGTCCCCCCCACCCAGCACTCCCCACCCCCTCAGGCAATCTCCCCACCATCGTTCACATCCATGTGTATCAGTTCTCTGGCTACTCTATTTCCTATACTGTACTTTACACCCCCATGGCTATTCTGAAACTACCTGTTTAAAACTTCTAAATCCCCTCATCTCCTCACCATTTCCCCAACCCCCCTCCCATCTGACAACCTTTCAGTAACTAACTTCTCTTGCTTCTAAGAGTCTCTCTTTATCTTTAACCTTTGGCCTTTTAATAATGATGTGTCTTGGAGTGGGTTCTTTACGTCCGTCATAACTGGGAGTCTCTGAGCTTCCTGGGCTTGCCTGTCTATTTCCCTCACCAAATTAAGGAAGTTTTCTTTCACTATTTTTTCAGTTAGATTTACAATTTCTTGCTCTTTCTCTTTTCCTTTTGGCACCCCTATGAGGCAAATGTTGGACCTCTTAAAGTTGTCCCAGAGGCTGCTTATACTATCCTCGTTTATTTGGATTCTTTTTTCTTCTTGTTCTGCATGGTGGTTTTTTGCTTCCTTATGTTCCACATCATTGATTTGATTCTCAGCTTCATCCACTCTACTGCTATTTCCCTGTAAATTGTTCTTCATTTCAATTAGTGTAGCCTTCATTTCTGACTGGATCTTTTTTATGCTGCTGAGGTCCTTGCTAAGTTCCTTGAGCAACCTTATAAACAATGTTTTTAACTCTGCATCTGATAAGAGTGCTTATCTCCATTTCCTTTAGCTCTTTCCCTGGAGTTTTGATCTGTTCTTTTATTTGGGTCATGTTTCTTTGTCTCCTTGTTTCGGCAGCCTCCCTGTGTTTGTTATTAAGTATTAGGTAGAGGTGCTTTGACTCTGTGTCTTGGTAGTGTGGCCTACTGTAGTAGGTGTCCAGTAGGGTCCAGTGACACAGCCTCCCCCATTACCCAAGCTGGATACTTGAAGTGCATCCTCTGTATGGGCTGAGCACATCCTCCTCTTGTAGTTGAGCCTTGGCCGCGATTGGCAGATCAATGGGAGGGATTTACCCAGGCCAGTCAGTTGCACGGACTGGCTATGACCACTGATCAGCAACCTCCATGGAGGATCAGCTGCGCAGGGACACGGTGGTGTTGCTCTGACTTGGTCTGTAGCTGTCCACTGGGTGCGCTGGCCCTGGGGTTTCCAGGTGATGCAGGCCAAGGTCAGCCTCCACCTGTGTTTTGCCCAGGGCA